ACGTGATAAAGGATTTGGGGATGTCATGAAATCTGAAATTTACCTACAAATGGTTCAGCAAATAAGAAAAAATTCTTCTTATATAGAGGGGTAGGGATGGGGGAGAGAGAGAGACAGAGAATATGAATGGAACTCTGGCCAAATATGAACAATTGGTGAGTTATAGGTTAAGCATATGTGATATTCATTATACTATCCTCTCACATTTTCTGTAGATTTTAAAGAAAAAATGATTAATTGCACTATATGATGGAATTTGTAAAATTAATACAGATATATCCGACTAATGGAGAAACCCTTTTGGAAAGTAATTTGACTTTCCCTATCTGGATCGTGAAATTGTACATACTTGGTGATTCTATTTCTGGGGGTTTTAAAACAAGAAGAAAGCCTTGGTCACAAATATGTTCACCACAAGCCAAATGTCGGGCAGTAAAAAGATGATAAATAAAGAGTGCCAGTTCCAGTAATTAGAATCATAAATGTACAAGCAACATAGAACACTTGGGCTAAACCAACAGAAGGGGGCAGTAGTGAGTAGCAGTGAACAGTGCACCTGGAGTCCCACCTGGATTTTCACCTGTGTGGCACCTCTTGGCTGAGTGATTTGGGACAGGCTACAGAACTGTTCAGATGCTCGGGTTTTGAACTTGTGAAATGGGGATAACAAACTTTATAGGATTGCTATGCAGATTCGCTGTCTTTAAAGTCCTTACTGTAAAATCCCTGGATGTAGTATGTGCTTAAGAAACATTAGCCATCATCATTATTACTGCTATCAGTTCTGACTGTGAGGTGGAGGTAGGAACTGAGTTGGGCTTTGACAAATACAACTGAGAATTTGAGGGAGGGTATTTCTGGCAGGGAGAACAGTAAGGAAGAATGTGTGGGCTCAGATATGCATAAGAAATAGGGAGCAGTCTGGGCTGGCTGAAGTACACAGTCACAGTACTCTCTCTGTGGGAGATTGCAGTGAGTCAGGTGGTTTCTGGACTCAGCTGAGGCAGCCATTGGGAGGTGCCAGAGCTAGAGTGAGGCATAGGCTTGACTCCACAGCCAGTGTGGGGGGAAGGCATGCAGGACCCCCCCCCCCCCAGCTGGAGCAGGTGGTGAGGATCTGGCTGTGCTTCAGGAAGACAGACCTGGCAATAGGAAGGCATATGGTCATCCCTGCCCAGTGACACACAGGGCAGCTGCATAGACACAACCGCAGGATCTTTGCAGTGGTCCTGTGTTTGGGGACAGGAAGGGTGGACTTTGTGGCTTCTCAGCTTTCCTTCAGCCTCTCTTTCACCTGCTAGTTTAGCTTTGGTTTGTAACTGCTTCCCCTTCCCTGCAGAGGGCTCTGAGGCGCTGGAACTGAAGCCCCTCTTCTTGCCCCAGAGTTCTCCTCTGAAACAGGAATTCCTGCCGCTCTGCCCTAGATCTAATACAGAAAGCGTCTCTGTGTGATCTGACGGACAAGCAGAGGCATCTCAGACCGAAAATAGCCCCCTTTCCTGCTCACAGCAGCCTGAGAGTCCATTGAAAGTTTCTGGTAAAATGCAAATATTCCCTGCGGTGGGGGAGGGAGGCAGTAAAACGGACTAATTTAATCCGCTCCCCAGTTGAGAATTCCCAAGGGGCTGGGATCCAGAGAGATAAATTTCATTGTTGGGTTGGGAGAGGGAGGGGCAAAGGCCAGTAGGAGGATTCTCAGCTGGGGACACTGACCCTAGAACCTGGGGGGCTCCCGTGCCATGCACACGCCCCGCCCCTGCAGCTGCCCCCTGCCTATTACAGGGCTCTGTGGTCCCTCTCCCCAACCCACCTGCCATCACGGTGAACTTCTGCCTCCAAAGAGGCAGAAGCCTGTCTGGCTGGGCCAAGGAACTCCCAGTGGCTAGCAGGGAGGGGAGCTGAAAGGCCACGGGAACCCGGACCACAGAGGGGGATTGTTCTGCGTTTGCCCCCAAGAACAGCTCTCAGCCCCTGCTGCACGTTAGAACCTCCCGAGACTTGAAAACATGCTGGGGGATTGTGCCTTCCTTCTGTTGATTACTTCAGTAAGTGTTTACACACACACACACACACACACACACACACACACACACACACACACAGCTGTGCGACTTGGAGCATGTCTCTTTAACATTTCTGTGCTTCAGCTTCCTCACCTGTTAACTGAGGCTACCTGAGTTGTTATGAGGAGTAAGGAATGAAGGAAACCCTCGAGAGTGTTCAAGTTTTCTCCACATGAATCTTTAGTGGGTTTATTCTTAGATTCTTGATTTTTTCCCTCTGCTACAAATGAAAAATTTTAAATAATTTTGATTTCATAACTGCTATTGGTATATGCAAATACAAATTATTTTTGGTGTGGCTTTTTATCAGTTACCTTATAAGCTCATTTTTTTTTTTAATTTCAGCAATATGACTGATTCTGTGCAACAGTCATTCTACCTGGGAGTGGTGATTCCTGTTCCTTGTTTTCTAATCCTCAAACCTTTGTTTTCTTCCTGCCTGACCTGGCTAGAATATCTAGTATAAGACTGATAATAGTGTCTGAGGGGACTCCTCTCTTGTTCCCAGGCTGAGGATACACTTAAATATGCCACCGTTAAGTATTAAGCTTTTTTTGTTTGTTTGCAATTTTTGCCAAAGTAAGAAATTTCCTTTTTCATCCTAATTTATTTAGAATACGTACAGGTGTGGGCTTTGATCACATGGTCTTTCTGTAGCTATTGAGATGATCACAATTTTCTTCCTTCAGTAGGAATGCCAGTTACTATTGGTGATTTTCAGTTGYCAAAAATCATTCTTGAATTTCAAAAATCAAACATGGCCATGATGTCTTCTTCTCCTTTTCTTTCTTCTTGGTCCTAGGGATTGAACCCAGGGATGCCCTTTTTATTTTGAGACAGGGTCARCAAGTTACCAGGCTGGCCTTGAATTTGCAATCCTCCTGCCTCAGCCTCCGAGGAGCTAGGATTCTATGGGAGCGTGCCACCATGCCTGGCTATGGTATTTTATTATTCTTACACGTGGATGGGTGATTTGGGAATATTTTATTTAGGATTCTGCTTCTGTGTACATGTTCTGAGACTGGCCAGTGATTTTCTTCTCTGGATTATGCTTCTGAAGTCAGTTTCAAGGTTATGCTTGTCTCATAAACCAGCTAAAGAGACCATGTTTCTCTGTTCCTCTGGAGAGGATTGTGTATTGTTGACATAATTCCCCTGCAAATGGGAGGAAGAAAGTCCCCACTCCACCTCCGGGCCTGCTGCTTCTTTTACTGAAAGACGTTTCATGATGGAAGCAATTTTTTTTCATTGGTATAGAACTTCTCTGGTTTTCTCTCTCATTGGTTCTGTTTAAAGGTGTCTTTTTTTTTTCCTTTTTTTTTTTTTTGCCTGTTTCCTCATCAGGAACTTTATTCAAATATGTGTGTGTTGGGAGAAAGGGGTCATAAAGAGGCCATGAGGGCAAAGGAGGAAATATAAGGGATAACTTTTTTAAAGAATAGTAATGCAGATTGCCTRAATATCTCATCAAGTCTAAGTGGGCCACACACTTTTCATTCTGAAAACTAAGCAAGAGGTAAGAGTAAATTAAAGTTTTCACCGTAAAGAAATGGTAACTATTTGAGGGCTGGGGTTGTGGCTCAGCAGTAGAGCACTCATCTAGCATGTGTCGGGCCGTGGGTGGATCCTCAGCACCATACAGAAATAAAGTAAAGGTATTGTGTCCAACTACAACTAAAAAACAAAAAGAAAGAAATGGTAACTATTTGAAGGCACAGATATGTCTCACATTACCTAAAGTATGGATGTATCAAAACATTCCATGTTACCACATTAATATAACAATTTTTATGTTTTTTAAAGGTGTATTCTTGTGGGAGCTTAATATTCTAACTAAATTTTCAGATTTTTGGCAAAAAGTTGCTTGTATCATCTTATCTTCCTCTTGTCTGTGGTCCCTGAAGTCATGCACCCTTTTCATTCCTGAAGCAGATTTGTGCTTTATTTTCTTTCTAAGTTGCTGAGGCTGATCTCAAACTTGCCACCCTCCTGCCTCAGCCTCCTCAGGTGCTGGGATTACAGACATGCACCATGGAGCCTGGCTGTGCTCTCTCTTCCCATTGACAAATTTCACCACAGCCCAATCAGTTATTGGTTGTGGTAATGACATTTTGGGTGGTGCTGACTCCATCTTTTGCAGTATGCTATTCCATTATTTTCTGCTGTCTCTTTCTCCCCATTCACTCCAGCTTGGACTTGCTCTGCTGTTCAGTTGGCTGCTCCTAAGTTCCCAGCCATCACGAGCTCACCTGTGCCCAAGTACTCAGCTTTATGCTACAAGTTTGGATATATGGCATTTTCTTACAGTTCTAGATGCTTCTAGCTTTCATTATGATGTCTTCATTGACGTGTTATTTTAGCAGTATAATTCCGATTTTTTGAATATACAGAATTTCTGGTTACATTTTGCTGCTTGATTCTAGCTTAAAAGACAAGGCATGGTCAGTCAGAACATACTCATATAATCTCAATACTTTTACATCTGTTTAAACTGCTTGGTCTTTTTTTTTTTTTTTCTTTTTTAATGTTTGGCATCTGCTTGCAAAGAACATGTGTTCAGTAGTCCTATGGTGCAGTGTTCTGTGTCCCCTGATCAGGCTGATTCTGTTAATTGGCTTGTTCAGATCTTGTGTTTCCTTCCTGATCTGTCTTATCAACCTTTGAGGAAAGTATGGTAAAATATCCCAGATGATGGTCAATTTGGAGCTTTCTACTATWAGACCTTTAAGGTAGCGCAGGGAAAAATGGAATGAATGAGAACTGCCCCCACCGATGACCCATAGCAACACTGTCAGTCCAAACTTGACAGGAAAGAGGAAAAGAATGAGGAGGAGGAGAAGAGAAAATCCCAAATAAATGACAACATCAAAAATAAAACCCTTGAACATGTGAGGTAAACACAGGGCACACACCACGATGCTACATTCAATCCTAAGTATTATCTGTAATTGTTACATTTAAATGGGTTAAGGGGTCCCAGAATAAAATTTAAGATGGATTATGAGATAAAATCCACATGTAAATGGTTGATAGGAGGCACATTTAACACATGGAGATGTGAGGTCAAGAGCAATCTGGCGGGGCTGGGGTTGTGGCTCAGGGGTAGAGCACTTGCCTAYCCTGTGTAAAGCCCTGGGTTCGATTCTCAGCACCGCATACAAATAAATAAAATAAAGCTTCATCAATATCTAAAAAAGTATTAACAAACCCAAGAGCAATCTGGCTACCAGTGCATGAGGCCCCTTTAGGAGGGAGCAGTGAACTGCATGGTGTTGACAGGCAGTGAACTGTGGTCCCTGTACTCTCTCCCCCAATTCCACTGGACACTTAGGGGTGGCTTGGGTGGGGATATGGGAAAACTACTCACATCTGAGTGGGACCTTCCCACTTTCCTGCCTCATGAGGGCCTGGGCTGGCAGGGTGAGATGGAGTAGGAGGAGGGCCCCTCATGAGCTGGGTGGGGAGGGAGGGAGGGAGGACCTGCACTCAGGCCAGCTGGGAGCTGCTTCCCAGGATGGTGGCATGCAGACCTGGAGCCTTGGTTGTCCCCACCTCCGGGCCCCTCAGAAAGGTCCTGTTTTCCTCAAAGTGGCTATATTTCTTTTCCAAAAGAGCCCCTGCACAGCAGCTGGACACAGCACCAAATACTTATATTGTATATAGCCTCTCATCAAATCAGACTCTAGAAGGCTCTTCAGCTAGCAGTTGTGGAAGACGCTAGAGACCTGCTTCCTGCAAGATGAACACAGCTGCCCATCAGGGAGCTTCCTACCATTTGACCATTCACATCCCATGGTCCACACTTCTTCGACCACAGTAGTCTGGTGAGCCCTGGACAACCTGGGCTGGGTCAGTCCTGACTCTCCTGTCAGGGACAGGCTCAGGCAGGAGGAGGTGGCTCACGGAGGAGGAGGGGCCAAGTGCTGGGCACAATGAGAAGAATGCTAGCTCTTTCCAGCTCTACCATCAGCAGCTGTGACCCTGAGCAAGTATTTCATGTGCCAAACTGTCCCTTTGCCCCTGTGGCACAGGGCTCATGTGCTGCCTGTCTGTAAAGCCCAGGGGACAAAAGCTACCTTGATGTCCCACTAAAAGTGGGACCCTTCCCACTGGCCTGCTTAGAAGGGAGAGGAGAGAGGAGAGGGCGTGTTTCAGCAGATGGACAGAATTCCCTCCCTCCAGGCAAGGGCCACCTCGTGGGACACCTCTCCAGCCAGTCTGCGTCCTACCCCTGCCTGTTGGTGCTGAAAAGTGCCCAGTGCTACTCTGGAACAGGAGCTGAGGACTTTCCCGTCCTGTCAGCACAGCTGGGGAGAGGCCACTTCTTCCAGTCAACATCCTGCCTACACAATCTGACGCATGCTGACTTCCACGCCACCGGCTCGGCACTTGCTCTGGTCCTGTAAGCACCTTCAATGCCCCTTTGTGGTGGTCTCTGCCCCGGGCTGCTCTGCTGACACACCACTGGCAGCCAGCAGCAAGGAGGGGTGAGTCCCATGCAGGACCTGGAGGGGCACCAGGTCACAGCTGTCTCCAGTGGCCCACGCCTTAGGGACACACTGGGCAAAGCAGCTTGCATGGTCATTGTGGACAGAGGTCCCTTGTGGCCTTGGGCTTCAGCAGGGGCACCCAGGGTCCCCAGGGCCCTGTGTGCATTGGCACAATTCCTGGACGTTCTTCAGATTAAATGAGGATGTGGGTGGAGCCCTGGCTCTGGAGATGAGGTGAGCGGCACTGGAGCACTGTCCAGTGTCCACGACGGGGCCACAGGCTGGTCTGTCCCACCCAGCAGGGCAGGAGCCTGCTTAGTGACAGTGGTCATGCCACTGGTGTCCAACACAAACCCAAGACTGACCCCATTCCCTTGTGTGTTATGGGCCGGTGTCCCAGCCTGTGCCCAGGACCTCAGGCCTTACTTAAAGAGAGGGTCTTTATAGAAGTGGGCAGGCCTCCCCAACACAGCTGGCACCCTGACACAAAGCAGGTACCCGGAGACAGAGATGCACGAGACACTGCAGATACAAAGATGGCACCTCTCTGTGCCTGTGCACAGAGTCTGGTACAGACCTGCCCTCGTGGCCAGCAGAAAGAACCAACCCTGAGGATCCTGAGCTCAGGCTTCGGGCGTGCAACGCCAGCCTGTGCACTTGTTGGGCAGCCCCAGGCTAGCCCCTTGGGAGCAGCACTGCTAAGGTGCCTTGGCGTCTCCAGAAGTGCATGTATGTGGGACACTGAGCTGCACTGTCCCCACTGTACTGGGGGCCCAGYCCAGCCAACCATGCCCCAGTGTGGGCCCCCACCAAGTGCCTTCCTATAGGAGCCAAGGGCCCTTCCTCAGCAGCTAACGTCCTTTAGAACCCACACTGGTCATCCAGCTTAGACCGCAGGGCAGAGTTCTCTCAAAACCACATGTGTCAGCATTTACTCCAGGAAAGCAAGGGCCCAGCCCTCTGCTGGGCTCCAAGATCAGGAGGGGCAGTGGTCAGGGAAAGGGCCTCATGGTCACCATACACGGCTCTGTGTGCACGCACACCACCACCTGAGTGTGGATGGTCCTCGTGAGGATAGGAGGGAGCAGCATCTGACTGAACCTGAGCCAAGACACCAGAGGCATAGTGAGGAGTGCACCCCACAGCAACCTCCTGAGCAGACGCCACTGAGCTGGCACTACCAGGGCAAAGGGCGGGCATCTGGCAAGGGGATGCCAGCAGAGCAGGGGAGGAAGGCCCACCCTGGCAGAGGGCAGCCTGGGGCTGGCAAGGGGCACCCGGGGTGCCTGTGTCCTCAGACAGCTGAGCTGCTGAGGGGCCTCACCGTGGGCTCCTGTGTTCACCACCCCAGAGGGTCCCCAGGAGGGCTCTCCCACAGGCTGCAAAGATCTTTGCCTGGTTTGGACCCTGACTGGTGCTGCCCCTGCAGGCAGTGGCTCCATGTCTGCACTTGTTGCAAGAGACATCAGGGGGGTAAGGCAGCAGGCACAAAAGTGGGGAGAGGGCCTTGGCACCCAGGATGTCCAAGAAGGGGGTGCCCAGTCAGCACAGTGTGGCAGTTGGGTGCCATGGAGGGGAGCTGCTGAGATGGGCTGGGTCTGGGTCTGGAAGGTTCTGCTGGGGCAGCATCAGGGGGCACCAGGTGGACCCTCCCTCTGGGGAGTCCCAGGGGGTCACCTGTCCGGCAGCCTTCTGCTTGGACCCGCAGGATCTTTGGTTTAGGTCTGGCAGGGCCCTTTTGCCTCCAGGAGGGCACGTGTCTGTGACCCAGTCCATTGGCCCAGCGAGGCCCCCGGGGGAGTGACCAGGGCCAGGAAGCCTGGCGCTTTGGCCCAGGACCCTGGTGGCGCCTCCCCAGCCGATCCACTTGGGTCCTCATTGTGGCTACTTCCTGAGCCAGTCCTGCCAGGGCTGTGGCCAGCTGGTCCAGCTTCTCTGTGAGCGCAGCACCAAGACTGTGCAGCTCCTGTTGCAGGGGCCTCCCACAGGGGCATGGTGGCTGCGGGGAGGCAGCTGGCCACAACGGTGAGTCAGCTGCTGGAGGGGGACACTTGCTGGGTGGCTCAGGTGGGTCCCTGGGGAGCTGCCTCCTTTGGGTCCTGGCTGAAACCAGAGGGAGGACACGGTTAGAGTTTCTGTGCTGTAAGGAGCTTCTGACCCCCAGTTCCCTTGCACTAGTGTTCAGTGTCCTGCCTGCTCTAAGCCTGGTTTCTAGAGTGAAGGAAGTTGCCTTGGGCTGGAGAACACAGGTGCTACGCCTCATTACAGCCAAATTGCCATCTTCTGCCATTTCCCACCCTGATGGGTAGGAGTAGCCAGACACGGGTTCCATGGTGACCAGCTTTCTCAGGACAGTGGTCTTTCAACTTCTGGGAAAAAAAAATTGGTGCGTTCCTCTGCCACCACTAGGGCCAAATGTTCCACCTATCCCTGCCCTGGGGGGTCAGTGAGAAGGGCCCAGAGAAGGCCCCAATGGCACAAGGCTAGGGTTGAGGGTGAGCACCCAGGAGATGGGCCAGGAGTCCAGCTGAGAACCATTAGGATATTTCCAATGGGGTCACTCAATACCAGTGCCCTTGGATACAAACGCCCCTCCTGTCTTTCTTCCCCTCACTCAAAAGTTATAGATTGAGAGATTTTGATGTCTTAAATTATTTTAAAAACTAATCTAGCAGGTGCAGTGTGTACACCTGTAATCCCCAGCAGCTCAGGAGGCTGAGACAGGGGATCTCAGCAAGGCTAACCTTGTCTCTAAATAGAATATAAAAAAGGCCTGGGGGTGTTGTTCAGTGGTAAAGCACCCCTGAGCTTAATCCCCTAGTATCCCTCCACAAAAGAAAACTCATCTAATCCTTTACCCCCAATTCCCCTAGAGCTGGGCTCTCCCAAGGTAAGCCTTGCAGGCAGCCCTAGGCCAGACCCTGCCATTTCTTAAGGCACTTGGCCGACTGGGTGGAGGGAACTGCTACCCCTGTTCCTGCGCCCCAGCCAAGGCTCTGCCTTTCTCTTGTCAGCACCCCCAGAACTGCAGGTGGAGCAGAGTGATGGCTTGAGTGGTCCAAGGCCCCAAGGCCCCAAGCCCTGTCTGGTCTAGTTCTTTAGTTGAAGCAAGAACGTGGCCCTGCCCTGAGGGAGGGCAGGGGCCACCCCAGAGTGCACCCCCACTCCAGGCCACACTCCCAAGTCCCTGGTATTAGGCTGCCCCAACGTGACCCAGGGCACAGGTGACTTGACCTCCTGCCTGTCTCACTGTGGCTCCTCAGAAGTGTGACTTGGAACCAAAGATTTTGGGATGACCCTGGCCAGGTCACTCAACAGTGCTGGTCACTGTTTCCTCATCTATTCTCTGAAGTCCCCTCAAACCCCAAATTTTGATTCAGGACAATTTCTTCACTGCACGAGGTCTTGGGAAACCCCCACAGTTCCTGTAACGAGACACTGAAGCGAAAGGGGCACCAGGAGTGGCTCATAGGTCAGACTTTCCCTGCCCACAACCTGCACAACAAACTTGGGAGGGTGTTTTCTTCTTGGAACTGGAGGCTGGGGTCCTGGCCAGTGCAGAGGGGACAGGGAAGCCACCAAGCTCACCTGCAACACTGTGCCTTCCACATCCAGGCTCTAGGCTTCTGGGTTCTTCACCTCCCCCGGACCCGGGCCTTTCTTCCAGCTGAGGGGCAGGCCAGGGATGCCCTGCTGCCTCTGGGGAAAGAGCACAGGGCACTTGGGATAGGGACACATGTAATTTTGCCAGAGCCACTCTGACATGAGGATGTTAAAATGTGGAAAAAAAAAAAAATCGAGCTTTCCACTTTTAAACAAGGATTAAATGAGATGCAAGTTGGACACTGGGCCCACCAGGGATCCTGGCTCTGGTGAAATGGGCACATGAGTGAAGGCCCTGGCGTGCAGCCCCTGCCCTGTTCCCAGCAGGAGGGCTGTGCTGGAGTGTCTCAGTGTCCTCTGCAGCTCCCGCCTTATGCTCAGGGATCCATTAGGTAGGTCCTGCCCCCAGCAAGATACCTCAAGGATATGCTGGGGGCATCCCCTGGATCACAAGAAGTCATTCTGACATCTTTTGCAGGGCCATGGAGCAATGAGGAACGTGGTGTGCAGGGGCGCAAGGCAGAGGCCGAGGCCTGTGGATGGAGTAGCTCTGGCCCCTGACTAACTCCCTGATCCTACCTCCTCCTCCTGCGGCACTGCTGAGAGGGATGGGTAGGCAGGCACTCTCTGCAGCCTCTTCTCTCCTGGGTGACCGGGACTTGCCTCCTGTCCCTTCTGCTTTTCCTACTGGGAGCAAACACTGGGTCACAAACCTGGGTGGTAGAGTGGTGGCTGGGGGCAGCAGGTGGCATTTCTAACTTTCTTGACAGGACAACCTCCAAGAATTTTTGCTTTTGATGTTTTTTTTGTTGACTGCCAAGATTTCAAAAAGTTACATGACGACAATGTTATCATTTTATACACACACTCATACCTATTGTGCACATATAGTATTAAGTCGTGTCATCGAGTGGCTTGCCAAGAATCCTGCCTCCAGTCACGCGCAAGCCCTGCTCTGGGTACCCTGCTCAAGGGCCCCATCTTCTTCCGCCTCAGCTTCCCTTACAGGCTCAAATATAGAGGACTTTCTGACCCCAGGCAGAGTAACAAGGGGGCTTGGAGAACTCAGTCTGGACCCCGGGCCCTGTGGGGACATGTGGATGCATGCGGGGACTCAGGCTCACCTGCACCAAGGCCACTGCGGTCCTCAAGCTCTCTTCTATCATGCCCGTCACGAGGGCTGCTGCCAATGTTGCCTCTGGGGGACCTACCAGGGCCAGGGGACAGAGGAACTGGATGCTTGCAGCTGCGAAGGTGCTCTATCTCTGTCACAAACAAAGCTGGCATCAGAGCACTGACCAGTATCCTGGAGAGCAGCTCATGGTCACCCCTGCCCCATGCCCCAGCAGACTCACCCTGAAGGGGTGGCCGCCAGGGCTCGGGTTCCATCCGTGCATCTTCATCAGAGCTGCTGAGGCTTGAGCTGGCGCCAGGGCTGGGGCTGGGGCCAGGGCCAGGGCCAGGGCCCACCAAGCAGGCAAAGCGCAAGGGCCTCACAGGCAAGATCCCCCTCAGAGAGGTCTCTAGACAGTGCAGTGGGGAGGGCCTGGGGGCTGCCCCTATGCAGATGACAAGAGAGCCAGCTGGCTATCACCTGATGGCAGCTAGGAGTTTGCCCTGATGACCAGGTTCACAGACCAGGTCCCTCATGGTTCAGTCCCCAGCTCACATGGGGTCTCAACAACTCTCTCTTTGGCTATGGGACATGGAGAAATCAAAGCCTGGTCAAGTCCCTGGCTGCTCTGGAAGGCCAATTGGGGAACTTTCCACAAGTGTCAAGTCCCTAGAAGCCACTGTGGTCAGGTTCTTGCCAAGCCCCGGGTCCTGCAGCCTCTCGAAGTCTGCGTCCCTCTACCCTGCACCACAGAGACCAGCAGCTGGGTAAGGGCAGGAGGGTAAGAAAAGCCACAGGACCTGCTGAGCCATCCTCCTGCCCCTGCAGACCTGTAGCAAGCTGCCAGAAGGATCTATCTGGACATAGCAGGTGGAAGGGGGCTCTTGCCCCCCAGAGTCTCCACTGGAAAAACCAATGGCTGCACAGAACAATGGTCTTCCCACCCTGATCTCAGCACTGGGTCACTTTATCTTTTTCTTTCACCAATTTCAGTTTCTGCCTGGCTCTTGCTTCCATCTTCTGGGGAGAGATGAGAGAGAAGGAAGGAGGAAAAACATGCCAGTAACACTGAAGGCAGCTCACCATCTTGCAGCCATTTCCACGGCTCCTGCCTGATGGTCCCCTGTTCTTTGAACCCTTGGTGGCAGGTGCGGATGTAGCTGGAGGTGAAGGCCTGTGGGCTGGTCAGATGCAGGCTCCCGGCAGGCACTTCTCCACCCTGTCTGAGGCAGGATGACTCAGAGGCCTCACCCCTCAGTCCTGTTTTAATGAGAAGCCAAAATGGCTGTGAGCCCTGAGGGGCCTTGTGCTACCACAGAAGCATAGACAGAGAATTCCGCCCACAGGGGGCTCTCAGGCACACAAATTTAAGGAATCACCCACTCTGCCTGTCTCAGAAGGGGTGGGGAAGTGGTGCCCACTAGAGCCTGTTCAGATCCTCCAGCATCTCTTTATTCAGGGACCCAGCTCTAAGGACTCCTGGGAGCCCTCAGATGCCACGTGGGGCTCACTTGCCAGGATGAAGATGCTCAGTGGACAGGGTTCCTGCTCAGGCCTGTGTGGTGCAGCAGTGGATAATGGCCAGGGTGTCCGTGTCCTGGACTCTGCCCACACTCATTCAATAGTGAGACTGTATGTGTGCTCAACAGACCACCTGGCTTTTTGGCCTCAGAACAAGCCTCTGTCCTGGCTGTTTCCGGAGTATCTTCTTGGCTCAAGTGGATCTGGCCCAAGACAGTTGGGGGCAGCCATGCCCAGGCCAATGGTACAGAAGCTGTCCAGCCCCACTCCCAGGTACCAGGGCCACCACGGAGTTACCTTCCTTGTACGCCATCCAATTCTTAGGTTCCACTCTCCTGGGCTCCCTGTCTGCTGCTGAGAAGCAAGCCCGGGCAGGCTGCTGCCTGGGTACCGGCAGCTCTTTGAGACAGTTCTCCAGCCCCTGGAGTGGGGAGCTTCCTGGCAGGCATCCTGTGAAGATCCAACATTGGCCCTCTTGGGTGACTGGAGCCTTGCCTCTTCTGCAGCGTCCAGGGCTAGGAGCCATCAGAAGGGGCACAGAGCTTTGGACGTGTTGTGGTAGTTCAGGGCCCTGGATGGAGACCTGGCCCCAAATATCTATCAGCCCTGGTTTGGGGTGGCCCTGTCCAGGCTGCCTTATAAGTAAGAAGCCTGACCTGTCTCCTTGGCCACCTTCACAGAAGCCTACCCAGGGTGCAGGAAGGAAATAATGGGGAGCCTGGCCACAGGTATGGGTCTAGGCTCCCTCAGTGCACCCAGCTGCCACCATGGTGAGGGATGGCCACACACCAGGTGGCCCTAAGGACTGTGAGTAAGGCTTCCTTTATTACTCAAAGGAAGGCAACCCTGCAGGCTTCCTGTCCTCTGCATATGACAGGCCACAGGCCACTTGAAAAAACAAATACATTGTAAAAATTGTATCCTAGTGATGGAGTTGTGCCAGCAATGGGAAGGAGCTGAGCTGGAATTCTAGAGGGAAGACCCCTTTCCAGGCAAGCAGACAGCACTGTCCACATTCCCCCCTGAGGGACATGTGCTGATAATTCTGGGCCCAGGAGAAGTTTAGAACCAAAAGCCACATGCATGTGGAGGGCAGAGTATGAGCTACCACAGGGTGTTTGCTGGTTCTGGGGGCTGCGCCAGAAGCTCCTGAAGGGCAGCGTGAAGGCCCCTCTATTTGGGTTACTTAGAACCCATGTCTAAGTAACCCACGTCTATCTGCAGAGGACACATGAAAAAAGAAGTGCACCCCAGGACACTCTGCCCTGACACAAGATGAAGTGGTTTTGGTGGCCAAGGGTTAGCTGGACAGAATGCAGAAACATGCCAATGGCAGGTGTTTAGATGAAAAGCAAGGTGGGGACCTTCCTGGAATGCCACTGTCCACATGAGGAGACAGAAGCTGGTCATGGCAGGTGTCTTTGGAGGGTGGTCAGATTCAGTGGTGGTTGTGGGAGGCGCAATGGGGACTGTGGGGCGGGGAAAGAGAGAGACTTTACTTTTCCCATATAACTTTCTGTAGCTTTTGAACAAAAACATTTGATTTTATTACCCATTAGTAACTAAAAATTAAGCCAAGTCAGCTGCGTTTCAGGCAAAAAGCCCCACACCCAAGGGGTTCCTCCAGGGTACTCAGGCACTGAGAAGGCCTGCATGGCCCAGCCAGAGTCCAGGCTGTAGTTCTAGGCCTTTCTATTAACTAGAGATGGAGCCAGGACACAGATACAAGCAGGTACCCGGTGTGCACCCATGGGACACGGCCAGGCCAAGAGTACTTGGATTATTCAGGTGGGGAAGAGGCTAAAGGGATGCTTAGAAGCACTGGAAGACCCCAATGTCCCCAAGTCCCCAGAAATGAGTCTCCCAGAGAGACCCAGGGAGGCACAGGTCCCCAAGCACACCTCTGAAGCTGGTTTATTCAAAGCACACTATACTTTCCCCTAAGCTGGAGGCCAGCCTCGCATATCTTTGTGGCTGGGACAATGAAGAGTTTAACTCAATAGGAAAATTGAATATACTACCTGTCTTTCCGGACCAAGTCACTAAAATGGACCCCTGCTCCCACCCTGTCCAAGACAAGTCCATTCCTGCCTCAATGTCCCCATCTCTGCCCTGGCAYGGGGCTGATGACCTGACTGGGCCAGAGACCTTGATGGGCAGGGGCCTTGAATGACATCTTGTCCCAGAGGGTTGGTAGCTCACCTTTTCCAGGCCGCTGTCCCTGGCTCCCCGCAGGACTCCCAAATTCCAGGTCCCCATCGGTGCTGCAGGCTGAGGAAAAGCTGGTGGGGGTGCCTCGGGAGCCTGAGGGTTGAGCCAGACTCTCTCTCACATAGCCCTGCAGGCCCAGAGGCAGGGGTGGCTCCTTGGTGGCCTCTGCGGGAAACAGCATTTTTCAGGTCACAGCAGAGCCTGCTGGAGAAGAGGCCCCTGGGCCATGGAGTAGATGGCACCAGGAGACCCTGCCTTGAGGTGTCTCTCTCCAGGGTTYCCCATGGCACAGATGCAAATCCCCAAACCCCACATTTCACCTCCTAAAACTAAAAAAAAGTTCTCCAAGAAGAGGGCAAGAAGACTTGTAACTGCTGCTACCGAAGCTGGAGAGCTGCCTGGGGCCAGGCCCGAAAGAGGGCAGTGGGAAGAAGGCACATGCTTCAGGAAGCTGGAGAGGACAAGCTAACAGTGGCCTCGGTGTCTCTCTCCACCGTGTGCATGGTGACAGGCTACCCCAGGCCCACTACACAGTCTACCTTCACTGTGTGATCCTTGAGACTGCAGCTCTGACCGCTGGGACACAGAGGTGGCCAGTGTCCGGAGTGGTGATGACCCACCTGGGGGAATGCCTTTCAGACAGGCCTCCAGAGCTGCCAGTGGTGAGCTTGAGGCCCTGCTGGCTGGGAAAGGAGAGAACACTGTCATCGTCTCTCACAGGTCCTTGCACTGCCTGTCGGGCCCTGGCTTGGTCCCTGGCTTGGTCCCTGGCTGGCTGCCCCTGGCCTGCCTCTTACAGGGCTGATGAGTCTTACACCAGACTCTGGGACCTGCCCGGCAGCAGACCCTCCTGGAGGGTACTTCGATCCTCTCTCTGCTTCTCTGGAGGGAATGAAGGTGTCCCTGGCCTTGAGGGCAGAGATAGGGAAAACCACCTGCCTGCAGGGGCCATCTTCCTCAGGCAGGACCTCAGGGCACAATGAAGGTCCTTACTGAGCCAGAGGGCTGCCGGGGCAAGGCCTGGGTTGAGGACATGGACTGAGGTCACTGTTTGGAAGGAAGCCCAGGGACAAGTTCCCTGCCCGAGGGACATGCAGGTTTCCTGGGCTTTGGGAGCTTCTCTGAGCACAGTCCCATGGAGACAAGGTAAGACAATCCCAGGCCTTACCTTGAGCTGTGGGGCCCCAGCAGTGTGTTCCGATCCCTTTGGTGTCTCTGGTAGCAGAGAGGCCATGGCCCTGCCTACCAAGCTGGCAGGATACAGGCTCCAAGTGGCTCTGGGACCAGCTGTCCTCTACCTTGACCACAGTGAATGAGCTGCCAGCTTCAGTACCAGGGCAGGAAGGAGGGGTCTGGAGGTGTCTGGACCCTGTGTGAAGGAGGTCACCAGGCAGCCCAGGTTTCAGGACTGGACTCACCCCAGGTTTTGGGAGGTGAGGTGGGGCTTCTACGGCCCCTCTGCATCCACAGCAGTCACTGTGCCTGGGTACAGTCACTTCTCAATCACCAGCACAGACCCAAGTCACATTCCTACTTCCATCAAAGTCCCTTTGGGTTGCTCTGAAGCTTTATAAAGAAGGATTAAGTCAGCTCTGCCCAGTTAGCACCAAATCAGATYTTTCTCCTTGGCCAGACAAACCACCCCGTCTAAACACACCTGATGGGTACCCCAAGCCCCAGTCCTACTACCAGACCAGACAATCTGAGGCCAGCCCAAATCCCAGTCACACCACCTATTGCCAGGAACCCCAAATCACAATTATGGCTTGAGAGTCTACTGGGCTACAACTCCAGCTTCTATGTTTTGGCTTCCCACCCCACCATCCCTTCTTTCCTTCCAAACTTTTACTTCGTTCTATGAAAGCCAGTCTGGGAAATGATCAAGAACTGATTAGGCACCTCCTCTGTGCCTTGCTCCATTTGCAGAGTGATGGTGCTCAGTATCAGGCCCTCTGACTGAGGCCTGTGTGCTTTGTTGCAGAAGGTCACCCACTGCCCTGCTTGTGGCAGCCCCTTCCCTCCCCAGCTCAGCAGGTGGCCTTTACCTTCAGAATTCTTATTCAAGGTCCCTGGATCCTCTTGTAGCAGCAGGTCCCCTGCTCCTGAGGGGTTGGGACACCTGTCCTGGGCCTCTGGGATCTCCTTCAGACAGTTCAGCAGACCCTGGAGAGGAGGATCCCCCGAAGGTGACTCAGTCTTCACTAAGGAAAAAGGCACACATGTCCACCAGAGCCCAGAGTCCAGTCCTCGCACCAGACAGGAACCATCCAGTGTGCAGTGAGGATGCAGGGCCAGAAATCTGCAGATGTGAGTCAGGTCTTCCCCCATGCCTCATTTAGTCTTGTTTAAGTCACTGTCATTTTGGTGCCCAATTTACAAATGCCTATCAACCATCCCTCCCAGAACAGGACAGGTGAGAATGGAGAGGCACTCAGAGGCAAGTGAAGGAGGCGGGGCACTGGACAGTGCCCTGGTCCCAAGCACAGCCTACTTTGAAGGGGCTGTGACACACACAGTGTGTGTAAGAGGCACACTGCTGGAGTGAACCCCACCCGGACCCCGTGGAGTGAACTAAGGACCAAAGCTGCAGCAGCCTTTAAAACAGATTCTATTGTCATGTATAACTAAAAAGAACCAAAAAATTAAAAAATAAAAATAAAACTTAATAAAAAAATAAAATAACATGCAGGCAGTATTTAAAGACAAAAAATAAAAAACATAATAAAGTGTCACTGCAGACCGGAGCTCCTGCCCCCCTGGCTGTCCAGACCAGGACCACTCTGAGCACCTCACCGAGTGTCAACAGGAAGTAACACTTGAGCGCTGTGGCTCTTTTCCTGAGGCCCAGGTTAGGAAAAGTGAAGAACAAAGAGCAACCAGGGCAGCATGCGTGCTGAGTTTTCTTTTTCTATCCTAATGCTTCTTTAAGAGTCACCTGGGGCTGGGGACATGGCTCAGTTGGTAGAATGCTTGCCTTTCATGCACAAGGTCTTGGGTTCTAATCCCCAGCACCACACACACACACACACACACACACACACACACACACATATACCCACCTGGCTTCAGTCACGTGACATTGGGAATACAGGAGCAGCCAGGTTAGTAATGATCCTCAAGGGAGACAGTGTGGATCAGAGAAATAGCTACAGAATGGCTTTCCAGGCACTTTGGAGCCCTTGGTCTGAGGGCATCAGATGCCCAAGGACTCACCTGGCCAGGGTGGGCTTGCTGGCCCTGCTGGCCCCGGCTTCACCACGGTCAACCTTGATGCACCCAGGAGAGGGACAGCAGGTAGTAAGTTTGGTGCTGCCTCAGCATTCTGGGGCCCAGGCACAAGGATTTCTTTCAGGCAGTTGATGAGGCCTTGCAAGGGGCTATTCCCAGGAGAGACTCCTGCACACAGACAAGGTCACCGAGGTCACTGTAGTCCTGACAGGGCAACATAAGACCTTCTACAGTCATGGGTCTCTGGGCAGCTGAGAATCACCCATGTGAACAGACGAGGCCTGCCCACTGAGGCTGCTACAAGACTAAACTGACTATTCCCCTGTAGCCCACTCAGCTCCAGGGCAGGCCTAATCTCATCCCCAGGAAAGCCAGATTCTCACCAGTCCCTGGGGTCCCTCTCTCCTGGGTTTGGTGGCTCTTCCTCTGGCCAGAGCTGCAGGTGGGAGGGCTCAGCTCCTCAGCAGGCGTTCCTGGGCCTCCCCTTCCTGTGGGCCATGGTTTGTCCACAGTTTCTGTTGCAGAAGACAAGGAAGGCCTTTCTAGCCTGGGCTCCACTTTGGGATCACCCAGATCCAGTCACCACAAGGAAAGACCCCTCTAGTTCCTCAACTCCCTGGGGGCAGTCAAGTCCCAGAAGCTTTGGAGGACCTGTTCAACTGTAAATACCAATACTCTGAACACGCCTGGACACTTCCTCCAGACCTCAGCCTCTGAACACAGCTCAGCAAGTAATGTCTGCAGCTTCAACACACCGACCCCAATCTCACGCTTGTGCTTTTCAAATCAGGGCACATGGAATGTCGGGGCATGTGGGTGGATGACACCTGAAATCAGAGGCTAAGCAGGCTGTGTTTTGGGGAATGCTAATCTTTTTTTTTTTTTAATATTTATTTTTTAGTTGTAGTTGGACACCATACCTTTATTTTCTTTCTTTCTTTCTTTTATTTTATTTATTTTTATGTGGTGCTGAGGATCAAACCCAGGACCCTGCACATGCTAGGCGAATGCTTTACTGCTGAGCCTCAACCCCAGCCCTGGGAATGCCAATCTTATTCCATATTACTTCAAAATATCCTAATAAAAAGATATTTGCAAGAATTTTTAAAGGTACAATGAGACCCCAGAGAAATTCTAGGCCTTCTCTGAGGTTAGGCTTTGATATGAGACGGTCTGAGAGTCAGAAGAGGTGCACACAGGTGAGTTACCTGCTGGGCCCTGTGGCAGAAACTGCCTGTGTACATGCACATGGTCCTCAGCAATAAGGGCTGGATGAGAGGCCTCCTGGGGACCAGGCATTGCGCCCCTCCCATTTGGTCTCCTGACCAGAAGCAAAGTATGCTGCCCTGCTCTCTGGGACCTTCACCAGCACTCAGCAGCAGAGGAGACTGAGTCCCAGAGAAAACAAAGAGGGTGAGGTTCAAGCTCCCTGACTCCAGGGTTGAGGACCTTGAAGTGCTGATGGTCCCCATCGTTGCTGGATTAGACTCACTGATGAGGAGGGGCCTTCCGGGCCCCCCATCTCCAGGCGGGCCACTGGAGGACGAACTGCTGGTCGGTGTAGTGGCCAGGCTGGGCTGGCTCACAGGGCTGTCCGGAAGGCAGCTGAGCAGACCTGGGGGAGGGCAAGACTCCTCTTCCATGGTCACTGTTGAGGGGGAGAAGACACTAATGCCAAGGTGCTCCTGCCACTGTCACCACCAGGGTCCTTCCTTGCCATGCTCCACTAACAATGGCCAGGACACCAGGGACCTAGGTACTGCTGTCACTAAGCTGACCCCCACATTACAGCCCTGACGAGGCCGCACTCCTGCAGCCTCTGCTCACTCCATTCTCATCTGTCACCAGCTGAGTGGGGAGGTGGGGCCTGAGGTGTGTGAGCAGGGACCAGGGGGAGGACAGATGCCTGGGGAGGTGGAAAGAGCACTGACTGGGAAGTGACCTGGGCCTCACTGGCCACGCAGAAGGCTCAGCCTCCCTCCCTCCCTCATCTGCAGGACATCAATAAACACAGCTCACCTACCACGAAGGGCCCAAGGCACAGGTTGGGGCCAACGTGAGAAGCCCAAGCTACTCTGCGCTCACCGCACCCAGGAGCTCAGAGGCCAGGCACACAGCCAGGGCATCAGGAGCCACTGGTGACCGCCTCCCTGCAGCAGTGGAGAGAAGCTGGGCGGCACACTGGGCCCAGGGTGTGGACTTGGACTTCACCTTGTGGAGGAGCTGTGAGCGCCACAGAGACTGGCCTGGCTGGCTGACTTACCCTCAGGGCTCGCTCTTTCCCCGTCCAGGCTGGTTCCCCCGCTCTCAGGGCTGTCCTCAGTGCCCTTGACTTCCCGGAACAAGAACTCTGGGATCCCCTTCACCAACTGAACCAGGGCGGTAAGGTGCAGGCTGTGCCGAGGCTGTCTTCCTGTGGAGGGCCACAGTGAGCCCYGCGCCCCTGTCTGCTCAGCACCTGTCCCTCAGGCAGCCCTCCCGACCACAGGAGGAGCAGCCAGGAGAGCCCGATGTCCCGTGGGCTCAGATCAAGAGATGTGCCTAAGGAACAGCCAGGATCGGGTGGGAGCAGTGTATAGGGACACAGGGGTCTCCTACACCTGTCTCTTTCTTAAGGGAATGTCAAGCAGGGCTGTCCCCACCAGCTAGCCCTCTGTCTTTGCTGGAATCCCCTAAACTCCCGGCCTTGCCCAATCTGGGCCCTGTGGAGCAAGTCCACCATCAGAGGAGCCGCAGGCTGGCTGTGCAGGGGCGGCAGGGATAAGGGTTCCGCTGGGGGCAGGAGCAGGCCTGAGGTGGGTGTGCTCTCCAGGGTGAGCCCAGGTTCTTCTGGCACTGCTYGGTGGAATGGACAATATGTAACATGCTCCTAGTCCAGAGCAGTGACAGGTCAAAGCCAGGGAGGGCTGCAGTAGGGAGGGCTAAATTAAGCATGTTGAGGTCACAGTGTCACCTGAGGACCATGAGTAAGAGGGGGAGCCCAGAGTCTGCCCAGAGGACTTACCCTGGGGGCTTCCCTTTACAGGAGGCTCCTGCCCCTCATCACCTCTACTCCCTCCTCCCATAGCTGCTCCAGGCTCCGTAGGTGACAGAAAAGCAGAAAGGGGAAGCAGCTCATCTGTCCCTGGGGAGAAAAGCAAGGACAGTCACCCTGGAAACAGAATGGTCTCTCCGTCACAGAATCGAGTTGTGGCCCAGGCATCCCACACATCTGTGCAAGTATCTCTGTGCATGTTGGTAGGGCCACCCACACTCAAAGAACAGAGCAGCAGAACCTGGCAGTCACTGCAGACCTCACCAAACGGTACCCAGCGGGAACAGAAGGGAGGCCCGGCCCAGCACCCAGCTTTCAGGAGGCCCCTAAAACTGTTCCTTTCATAGATGAGAAGACTAAGGCCTGGTGGGGCCTGGGGTCCTGCAGTCCTGGGGCCTCCTGGACTCCAGCCTCCCCGCTTCCATTCTCAGTTGGCACTCGCCGCCTACACCCCAGGGAGGCCAGTGGAGGCATACCCACGGAGACCAGCGTCTCGTAGTTCTCCCGCATCACGTCTCGGTAGAACTCCCGCTGCCGCTCCTCCAGCAGCCTCCACTCCTCCTCGGAGAACCGCACGGCCAAGTCCATGAAGCTGATGGGCACCTGCGGGTGGTTGGGGAATGTTGGCAGTCCTGCCAGCAGGGCCAGCCCAGCTGCCCCCTCAGCTCAGTGCCCCGCACATGTCTCTGGGTGAACACGGGGATGGAGGGGGAGCAGTGGGTGGGTGGGAACTGATACCAGAAGCAACAAGAATTGGCTAGAGATGGAGCTGGCAGTCAGCTGGGTCCCTAGGATCTGGGAGAGGCAAGGAAAGAGCCTGCTCTCAAACCTGCAGAGGGAGTGCAGCTATGGATATCTCAGTTCCAGGCTTCCAGACTCAGAAGGAATGAAGCTCTGTTGCTTTAAGACCTGGGTCTGTGGCTCCATCACAGCAGCCCAGGAAACTACAACAGTCTCATGTCACCCAGTCCCTAGGCCCCACAAAAGTCAACCCTGGGATGAGAACTCTGGCCAGCCTGGACTTCACCTTGTGAGATTCTCTGAGTTAATAAGCACACTTCCCTGAGAATGTGAAGGCCTGAGATCCTAGTGCTGAGGATTAAAATAAAAAAGAGTCGACTAATAAAACCAATTAGTTATCAAGGGTGAGGATCCCTTATCTCAAACCTATGGGACCAGAAGTCTTTTGGATTTCCAGTTTGGGAATATTTGCTTCTACATAATGAGATAGACTTGGGACAGGACCCTAGTCTAAACCTGAAATTCATTTATGTTTCCTACGTATTTTATACACATGGCCTGAAGGTATTTTTTAATGTGCCTGCCTTTTGACTGTGACCTGGTACACGAGCTCAGGTGTGGGATTCTCTACATGTAGCATGATGCTCAAAAGTTTTGGATTTGGTAGCATTTTAGATTTCAGGATTTTTTTTATTAGGGATAGGGATGCACATCTATATAATTAAGAAAAAAAAAGTATTTTTTTTTTTTTTTTAGCAGGGATGCTACAACACTCAGGAATCAAACAAAGTTTGACCACCTCCCTAGGCCACTCTAGTAGCCTGTGACCCCTCTGACTTCAGACTCCCATCTTATGGCCACAGCTCTTCCACAGACCCTCTGCTGCCAGGCTGAGTCCAGCTCCCAGCTCTGCCAGGCACAGCCTGCCTCACTTTCCAGGTCCCGCTTGCCCTTTGAGGACTGACGTTCAACAGCGCATCCCCATGGGGACCCAGCAGTACACAGGCACTGAGCTCCATGAGGTGATGCCCACGAAGCCCTTCTGCATAGGTAGACTCTCCAGGAGACAGATAAAGACACCCCTACTAGACAGGGGCCCAGGTGTCCGAGCAGAACCAGTCAAACTGTCTCTTTAGTCAGGTGAACAAAACCTCCAGCGCATGTTTGCATCAGGTCAACCAGAACAAAAACATCATCAATTTAAACATCACTAGATTCAAAGACCCACATGATGAGCCCACAACTGATTTATGGCTAGAATTCTTAACCAAAAAGAATCATTCTGAACCCATATATCAAATGATTGGCATGGGATTTGATTTTCGAGGAAGCTTGCCTGGGAATCTGCACTTCTCTTCCCAGGAAAATCCTGACTCAGAGAGCTCAACCCTGGGCGTCCACATCTCTCCCTGTGCCTGGCTTCTGACAGTCCTGTTCTTTTTAGCAGCATAGTGAAGAACCTGCTGGGGCTAAGTTAAGATCCCACCGTCCCCTTGGAGAGACCTCCTTGGACCCCTGTCCAGTGACACTCCAGGCTGTAGTCCAGCTGTCCTCACCTCGCCACGCTCCCTACCCCAGGCCTCTGTTTCACCCTCTCTTCCTTGGGGATGGGAGTCTATTAGACACTGTGCCTTTCTTAGAGAAGTATCCAGAAGAAAYCCCAGAACCCTGGACAGCTCTGGAAATGGAGTTCTTACACACCCAGTACTCATCCGATTTCTACACCTTCCACGCTCATCTTCAGCTACCCTGTGGCTTTTTAAGGTAAAAGCAACCCTTCTGTCTTAGTTTCTTTAAAATTTGTCATTCAGTAGATTTTAAAACAATCATGACACCCAGAAAATGGACAAGAAAGAATTTAAAGTTAAGGCAAAAATGAACTTTGTATAAATTAAGCAAAATGTAAGTTCTGAGAAGTGTCCTTCTGGTTCAGAAATGAAGGCGAATTATGATTTGTTAGAAAGAAATTATAAAGAAAATGAAGACACTTGTAAAGCAAAGAAAACAGCTTCTGTCTTGTTTCATCTACTCAGTGATTTTAAAAACCGTCACGGCTACTAACTGGCAGCCTTGTCACTCACTCATTGTACTCCCCTGCCTGTCACCCTGACAGCTGACAGCTAGCATCATGTAGTCACACCCCCTGGTGCTGTGGGCACCATCCACAAACCCAGCTAGACAGTCTCTCTAGTGACTGCCTAGATGCACAACTTATCGCACGGCTTGTCACAATGCCATGCAGGAAGAATGAAGTGCATCCGGTGTCAGGTGCATCTGGAGGAGGCCCCTGGGAAACCATCCGCCCGTTTCCACTGACCTCACTCCGGTGCCTCTGCTACTGCTGAGCCTGCTGTGTCCTCCCATTGTAATGAATCAGGTGTGAGCCTGTCGACCTGCTTGTCCTCCTAGGGATTCCTGAGCCCTGGATGCTCCTGGGGACCCCAGCACAGGGCTCCATTATGTTTGGCCACCCCATGCCCCACTGTGTTGGGCCCATCACTCCTCAGTCCTCCCCTCCATCTGCTGGGCCTCTGCTCTCCCTCTTCCTCCTAGAGACCTACCCAGCCAGGGCTTGGGAACCATGGGGGATTGCAGAGTGGGACAGGGCCAAAAGGTCATCAAAGCAAGTCAGTATCCAACTAATGAAGGCTGCTGGGAGCTTCAGACTTGTCACAATAGGCCTAGGGTCCAAATGGACATAAATGCCACCTATGGACTGAGCAGGAACATTTTACCTGTATTCCTTGATTACTAAGTTTAAAGGTTCAGATGCTGTGATGGCCAGCATGCCTGTCCTTTAAAAGTAATATGGATTTAATTTAAAATATGTGAAAAAACTACAATCTAATGCACTGAGAATACCACCATGTGGGGACTGGGGAAGTTAAAAAGAGGGGTCACAGAGTCAAGAAGGCTGGAAGCCCCTATTTGCAGTCCAACTGTCTCACTGCTGAAGTTAAAGCAAGTGGGAACAGTTAACCACCTGAAGGAATAACCAGAGCAGTGGCACAGCAACATGTCGCTCAACAGTGCCAGGAGTGTACAGGTGCTGCATGTGGACCTTTCGGGGCACTGGAGGAGCACAAAATAGGTGGAGACAGGTCAACAGCAATGCATGCTGCCTGAAGAGAGGGCATGCCAACAGAGTGGCACTGTCTCACGTGCCTTGACCAGGCAGCAGGCATGCTCTGCCTGCATTGCAGAGCTCTTCCTGAATGGCAGTGGACACGTCGGCCATTCCAGCTCTGCACTGGAGCAGACCTGCATGCTCCCCAAGCAGCTCTGTGTCAGGACCAGGCTTCCCATGCAGATTCCACTGCAGGTGGTGCTATGGTGTGAGTGTGACCCGAGTCCATGTGTTGGACACCTCACCCCTAACTCGAGTGTTGAGAGGTGGAAACTTTATGACGTCATCGGGCCAAGAACAGACTGATGCCACTGTTGTGGGAGCGGGTTAATGACCTTGGGATTGTTTCCTGGTAAAAGGCTGGGTTCAGCCCCTTGCTCTTTCTCTCTTGCCCTTCCCCCTTCCACAAGAGCCAGATCCTGCCCCCTTGATCTTAGACTTGTGATCTCCCAAAACTGTGAAGTAAATCTTTGTTCTTTATAAATTGCCCTGTCAGGTGTTCTGGTATAGCAGCACAAAACAAACAAGACAGGTGGCCGAAGACTTAATTGGCCACCATTTATTTCCAGTTTGACTATCAGTTCTATTTTTCACTGAAGCAACTGGCTTAATCTGTGTCTTAGTCCATTTCTGTTTCTGTAATAGAATATCTGAGACTGAGCGATTTGCAAAGAAAAGACGTTTATTTTTTACAGTTCTAGAGGCTGGAAACTCCACACTTGMGGGCATCTGCTGAGGGCTTCTTGCTGCATCATAACCTAATGCAGGGCATAATATGGTGAGGGGGCTGGCACTCTCTCTCCCTCTCTCTTTCATACAAGGCCGCTCCCTGATAACCACTAATCCATGAATAGAGTAATTCATTCACAGGGACAGAGCCCTCAGACCCAATCACCTCCCCAAATTTGCACCTCTCAAATGGCATTTGACTTTAGGAATTAAGTTTCCAACACATGAAATTTGGGAGACACCCTTAAATCACAGCATCCTGATTTATCTGTCTTCTGTGAGTTTGATAACTCAGAGTTGAGTTGATAACTCAAAGTTGATTCTCCTGGGAACCATAACCTAGGGTCGCAATGAACAACATTCAGATTAGTTATGGGATTTTAGCCAAACTACTAAATCCATTTGAGCCTTAACAAACTCATCTATAACACTGGGATCACAACATCCTACCTCATAGGGATGATAAGGAGACAAAAATCAATTGATATAAGAAAAATGCCGAAAATAAATGCTAACTGATCTGCAGCCAGATCTGCCTGCTAATATCCACCTGCAGGGCACAGCCTGCCACCTCTGGCTCTTCCACACACTACTCCTAACCTCCCAGGAACTCTTTATCGCCAGGCTAAATATATATATCTGGCTTTTTTAGACATCTGTGAGYAATGCTTTCCAGAGGTCCCCCCACCTCAGCTTCAAGATGGACTCCTGGGTGATGGAGGTATAAAGTGCGAACGGGAACTGACTGTGGCCTGGGTAAGTGCTCCTGTCAAAGGCTTCTCAGGGTTCTGAGTTTAAGAAAAGTGAGCAGCACGCGCGCGCGTGTGTGTGTACAAGTAAGTGTGCAAACACTCATCTTCAGAGAAGGAAAGCCACTGTCCTCTTTGTGCTCAACCTTGCTCTCCTTCCCCAACCAACACAGCAAAGCTTTTGGGGCTGATCCAGGCCTACTGTAGCTCTCTCTTAAAACATCCCTTCTACTGCATGACTAGCCCCATGCAAAACTGCAGCTTCAGTGTCCTGAGGATTTGTTCACCTCTCACAGTCCTTGCTAGTCTAGACCCATTCTCCCAGTGTGACTCAGACTAACAGATCAGACCCTGTACCACACTGCCCTCACTGTGCTCACAAGGTCCTGGGTTCCTGGGAGTCACACTGGACTTGAAGACTACAGGCCCTGTCTCTCACTGTGACCTTGCATTCCCCAAGGCCAATACAGGCCACCTTCTCCAAGAAGTCACATAGCATGAGAATGCATACTTCCCTGCACATTAGATCTGAAAAACCAGTGCTCTAACCCCCTGACTTTGCAGAACAGAAAACTACTGTGCGAGGAGGCCCTAGGATGGGGTTTGTGAGCATATCTGAGCAAGGGTGTCCTTGGACTGCCCTGTCAGCCAGAGCTACAAAGGAGACTGCCCTAGCCTGTACCATCTGGCTTCCTGGCTTCTCCCTTCTCCCAAGATGCTTGTTAGGCACTTGCCATGCCAAGATCCTGGCACAGTACCTGCTCTACCTGGCCACACACGGTCCCACCACTATCCCAACATAGTTGCCTAAAGGTGGCCAAAGTTCAGAGGCCACCACAATTTCATTGCCAGCTCCTGTCCAGGAAACCCTGCAACTCCCCACTGGCATTTTCACTGCCCACAAACTCAGTCTCAAAGGTGCCCAGGGGCTCCCTCCACCTCTTGGATATACCACTATGCATCTTACCGACATAAAACTTGGAATCTGTTTTATCTTCTATTTCTCCACTTCCACCTCCCCACTCCCTGGAGCCAGGATCTTGCCAGGATTTAGCAGTTCCCCCTAGGCCTCCATGCCCACCACTCTCATGATAACTTGTAGCAAAAAGGAAACACGCAGAGAGGGAGGGCGATGCTTAAGTCCAAAGAACGAGTTTCCCCAGGAGGCTGGGACTCGAGTCCGTGGGTCCCGGAAGAGGGTAGGGGTCGGAGTTGGACCTGGACTTCAGCGCACGAAGTCCTCAGCACCGGGCTGGCCTGGCTGGGTYCCGGCTCTTCCYCCCCCCCCCCCCGCCCCGGGCCGCGCACAGCAGACCCGCCGCCGCGTCCACCGGCCCGCGCGCCCGCCGCGGCTCGCCTTACCTGGCGCGCCATCCTAGCACTCAGCCGCGCGGCCGCCCCGCGACAGGCCCAGCTTCCGGCGGCCACAGGCGGAGGCAGCCACCGTCGGCCGTGGCGGCTMGGCTGCACGCGACAGGAGGCGGGGCCGCGAGCGCGGGCCGCGGGGGAGCGGCGGAGTGGGCGCGCCGGGGCCCGCCCCGCGCCTGGCCGAGCCCGCCCCCGCGCCGCGCATCCCGGGAGGGTGGTCCCGCTTCCGGCCGGCGCAGGCGCGGACTACACTTCCCAGAAGGYCCCGCGGGGCCGGGGCGGGCCGGGGCCTGCTGGCTGCCCATCACCCGCTCCCCGGGGCTGCCAGACAGCTGGGCGGGCGGACGGGCTCTGTCCAGCTTGCAGCTGCACGCGCCCGCGTGAAAGCATCCTTCTGTCTCTGTTCATTCATGCAGKCATCCGACACCGAGAGCATCCTGTCCAGGAGCCAGATGGGGATGCTCCGACGAGAAGTGACCAGTGTCTCCCAGAGGCCGCTGTCAACGTAAACTCGACCCTGAGTTGGGGAGCCCGAGGGCTGCGGGCCCAAGGGCGCGGGACCCAGCAAGGATGGCAGGAGCGGCCGCCAGATCCTGGCGCGTTTTCAGGATCTGTTCCCAGCCCCTTCACTCACCACACTACTGACCCCCGCGTGCCATTGTATTTCATGTGACTATTTGCTGGTCTGTTCCGTTATGTGGGATTTTAAGTAAACACGCAATGAGTGAACTAAGCTTTGGCCTCACCATTATCCACTTCCTGCTTTGTTGCCCGGAATTCAGATGCTGGGCCCTCTGCGGGGAGGCCACAGGCTGAGCACAGCTGGGCCCTCTGCCGGAGGCCACAGGCTGAGCCCGCTGAGCCGCGTTTTCCTCTCTGAAGAGGAGAGCCAGTTAGAAGAATCCAGAGAAGGTGGGCTGGGCCGGGGGTAAACCTGCTCTTCCAGTCCGAATCTTGGAGGGACAGCGGAAACAGAGGTCTCCCGAAGTGCAGACCTTCTCTAAATCTGGGGCCCAGTCCAGATGCCTGCCGCCCAGGGCCCCTCATCTTCGGGAATACTCAGTATAAGCAAAAATAACCAAAACCCTTTTGGCACCATAAAGAAAGTACAAATAATCGGGCCGGGACCAGACTTCAGGATCAGCTCTGCTTTTTGTTCAGCAGTGGAGTCAGGCATCAGATGGCTCACTTTCTGGGTAGAAAATGGCCTCTGGTTACAGAAGTCTGGGTTCACATAGGTTACACACTGGGAGATGGCTTAACCATTGAAAACTTTTACAGATAAGCATTGAATGCTAACTCTGGACCTTCATACTTGCCCAGTAAAAACAAATTTCAAATGTTTACATCTTATCTCTTTCCCTCTGGGGTCTATTATACTGTCCCTGGGAAAGGATTTTGTGGCAGGGAAGGATCAATGTTTTGGCTTCTTTCCAAAGACTGTCACTTTTAGGTTTGATGGATATCTCCTTCCTAGGGATTGTCTTATCACTGGATGATGTTTGCTTCCTTCCCAGAGATTGTTCTGTCGCTGGGAAAGGATCAAGATTATCAATGTTCCTTCTTCCTTCCTCCCTCTTCCTTTGGGATTGTCATTTCCATATCATTAACTCAGAATACTTGAGAGGAAATTTATTAATTTATTTTTATTATTCTTTTTAGTTATACATGACAGCAGAATGTATTTTGACATATTATACATACACGGAATACAACTTACCATTTTTGTGGTTGTACACGATGTGAGTTACACTCAGACGTGTATTCATCTAAGAACATAGGAGAGCAAAGTCCGATTCATTCTACTGTCTCTCCTATTCCCACCCCTTCCCTTTCTTCATTCCCCTTTGTCTAATCCAGTGAACTTCTATTCTTGTCCTCCCTCCCCCTTATTTTATATAGCATCCACATATCAGAGAGAACATTCAGCCAGGAAAGTGAATTTCTATCCCAGTTATCCAGGTGTGGGTCTCTAGCAGCGCTGGGTTACCATAGGCCCCACTGTTTTTGTGACTGGTTACCTCCCAGAAATCCAGGAAACAGGATATGATACTGACACCCCTTGGCTTGGCCACTCTCCATCACTGCCCAGAGCACACTGAGGCAATACCCCTCCTTCATACCCGGAAGCACCTTTGGCACAGGTCCAGCATTGTTTAGCCTATTGAAGAAGATTTGGAAGTTTAACCATGCAGAAAAGTCAAACTAAAACTCAATGTCTCCTCTCCAAATCCCTACAGGACCTGGCAACTCAGGTTAGGTCTTAGGCCTAAGGCCAGGGACACTATCACTGGTCTGTAGACCCCTAAACTTTAAAATTCTTTCACCTTAAAAGCTTTCAAAGGAGTATCTCCATCTAAGAAAGACAAACTTTTTTTTTTTTTTTAAAGTACAACATTTGGCCCCTCTTGACTCAAGCACCCCCATTTGTAGACTCTGGGCCATTAGTCACTAAAAGCAGTTTATCAGCATCAAATCTGCTGATGGCCAAATTATAAGAAACCTCCCCGATCCTCTCCCCTAAAGCTTTGGTTGCACGTTTGACTGTATGTGCATCTGTGCCAGTTCTTGTATCTGCAATACAAAATGATTGCAGAAAACTTGCCTAAATGGGGTTTCGTTGGTGGCTTTAATCAACCTACAATGAATGGTATAGATGACAGGGGTTGCAATCCAAGATATACTTGCCAGAGAGGAGGCAAAAGAAGGACAAGGTTTCCAAAAGAGTAAGATAGGCAAGGTTACATAGCTCTTCTGAAACAATCTGTGGCCACAAGGATGGTGCCAGTCAACTTTGAACTGGCTCTTACAGGGTAGGCATCCTACAGATGTATTTTTTCTGCAAGATTGCTGTGGCCTTTGTGCAAAATTGTGGTTTTGTCAGTCTTTTGATGGTTCTTGTCATCAGGTAAATCTGTGTGAGGAAACCTTCCCTCTCATGGTTTCTCTGTTTCTGCTAGGGTTACACGCAGGTGGCTCCAATCTGTTAGGGTTTGAAATGGGTGACTCCAGTTTGATTCTGACAACTTTCGCAGTTTGGACACAGGCAAGGTCAGGAGTGGAGATGAAACAGATTTTTGGAAAAATCTCAATAATTCAAATTGGTTGTTCAGCAAGTTGATATTCAGTGGTTTAGCTTTCAGCATGTTTGGATTTTGGCTATCTGGTCATTCTATGAATGGGCTTTAGCAGACTAGTTAGCTCTTTACCCCAGAAGAATCATCTGGCCTCTCTAGTAGCAGTTGTGTTGTCCACTGCTCCATGTGAAATGGTTGCTGTCATGGTTTAGGTATGAGGCATCCTCCAAAAGCTCATGCGTGAGATTATGCAAGAAATTTAGAGATGAAATGATCGGATTATGAGATCTTTGGCCCGATCAATGCATTGATCCACTTGAATGGATTAACTGGGTAGTAACTACTGGGGGATGTGGCTGGGGGCATGCCTTTGGGGTATATATTTTGTCCTTGTTGAGCACAGCACACTCTCCTCCCTTGGTGCCAAGTCCTGAGCTGCTTTCTTCTGCCACGTACTTCTTCCATGATATTCTGTCTCACCTCAGGCTCCAAGGAATGGAGTTGGCCGTCTATGAAAGGAGACCTCTGAAACCATGAGCCCAAAGAAACTTCAATTGTTCTTGTCAGGTCTTTTGGACACAAGAGTGAAAAAGCTGACTAAAACAGCTGCTATTTGTGTTTTCTTATATAGTTTAGGGTTTTGTTTTTTTTTTCTGTTTTTCTGGTGATGGTGCTGGGGATCAACCAGGGCCCCATGCAAGCCAGGAAAGCACTGTACCACTGCCACATTCCCAGTCTCATCTTATCTTTTTTTTTTTTTTCCTTTTTAAACCGTTAATTGTTGAGAAAGAGATGTTAAAACCTTATATCAAGATTATGCATTTGTCAATTTCTCCTGTATTTGTGACAATTTTTGCTTTCTGTATTTGGAGGCCATGTGCATTCAAGTTTAGAACTGTGGTATTTTCCTGTAGAGTTGTTGATTTTATTATTAGGAAGTAACAATACCCTTAATAATATTTTTTGTCTATAATCTGTTTTGTCTAATATTAATATACCTACATGCATTAATCAGCTTTTAATACCTGACAAGAACAATTTAAAGAAGGACAGCTTTGGCTTGCTGCTTTAGAGGTCACGGTGCATGTCAGCTGGCTCCACTCCTGTAGGCCTGAGATGAGGCAGAGCTTCCTGGAGAAAGGGCCTCCCAGAGGGAAGCTGCTCAACTCAGGGCAGAGAGAGAAAGAAAGGAGAGGGGGGAGGGGTTTAGAGGTCAGTCCCCAAGGACAAGCCCTTAGTGATTTACTTCCTTTCCACCACCTTTCCACCACCTCCTGTGAGTCCATTCAAATCATTAGTCCATCAAATGGATTTTTTTACTAATGAGGTTACCAGCCTGGTGATCCAGTCACTTCCCCAAAGCCCCACCTCTGGGCATTGCTTTATTGGGGATCAAGTCTTCAGTACATGAGCTTTTGGAGGACACTCCAAATCTAAACCATAACACTCCATTAAACTTCATTTTGGCTCACATTTACTTGATATATCTTTTCCTATCCTCTTACTTTCAAACTTCTTGTAAATTTATGTTTTAGGTGTGTATCATATAAGAGCATGTAGCTAGGTTTTGTTGTTGTTAAATTCTATATGACAATCTTTATTCTAATTGGCAATCTGCTTGCATTTATTGTGATAAGGTTTCATTCATTTCTACCATCTTATTTTGTACTTCTATTTATACTGATTTTTTCAGACTTTTTTCCTCCATATTGGATTGATCGATTTGCTTTATTTATTCTTTTCTTTCTACTTGTTGAAAGCAATGTCTTACTTTTCTGTTCTTTTGGGGTTTACTGTTTACAACTTCATACACATATTTGGTTTTATATAAACTAATATTAATTCCTATTTCCACTCTCCTTCCAGATAACAGGCTTTTGGTATACTAGTTTAATCACACCACACTCATTCCATCTTGTGTGAGTTGTTCTTTCTCATTATATTTTTAAGTTCCTCCCTATTTAAAGTCACTGTTTGTTTGTACAATCTATGCTGTTTAAATTTACCAGAGTTCTCTCTG